AGGATCTACAGGGTGTCCCGAATTATGTACGCTAAAATTCAAAAGTTATTCAGCAAAAGTACTTGAAAGCAGCGATTACTTATCGCTATAGAGAGGGAGCGCAACGCAGAGGCATACAGCGTTTCCATAATTATAATTCCACCTAAAATTTCCCAAAATCTCACAAATTCAGATGTTTCAGAAAAAGTCTCCAATGTGACAATGTGTCAAATATAAATACGAAATTGCCTATGAACATCAACTTCCAACTTAGATCACAGGAATTTTTTTCAATAATTTTTGTGTAAAAGGCCACTCAGCCGACGTCCCAAAATTATACGTCCACCTCATGTTTATCGATTACTTTTCACTTCTGTTTCCACGAAACTTTTTCATTGTGGTAACACTTCACTTCTTAAGGGGACAGCATAATAAAACTGCTGTAGGACTTTGAAAAAGGAGGTCGTCGCAAAATCTGTTGAATGAAGCAATCGCGCCAGATTTGGACCAAATTCACGCCAAGCTCAGGAATTCCTCAAGGGATTCCGAATGATATGAAGTTCAGAAGAGCGGCAAAGATCACTTCCTTGCTTTCTGATAGAAATGAAGGCCGTGCCGCAAGAGAAACATCCACTTCACCAAGTCGTGCTCTGTCATCGAATCTTTTTCAAAACTTTATTTCTCAATGGACTAATGTTTCGTGCGTGTGAGGGAATCCCAAGTTCATTCTTGAGTGGAAAATATGGAAGGCATCATCTGTGGCAAAAAAAAACCATGGCGAAAATTGGGCCGGTTTTCCATGAAGATGCAGCCGAGCCGACTAGAGTAAGGTCCGTTTTTGCTTGCTGTGTTTTAGCACTTGTCTGTTTTTCTTCCCATGTTTTTCATTTCCTTGGTGGCTTTTTTCTTCGCAAAGCACTACTACGAGAAAGAAAATGGCAAGAAGAACGACAGATAAACACGCAGGCAAGAACGGACCCTACTCTAGTCAACTCGGCTGCATCTTCATGCCAAAACCGGCCCAATTTTCGCCATGGTTTTTTGCCACAGATGATGCCTTCCACATTTTCCACTCAAGAATGAACTTGGGATTCCCTCACACGCACGAAACATTAGTCCATTGAGAAATAAAGTTCTTGAAAAAGATTCGATGACAGAGCACGACTTGGTGAAGTGGATGTTTCACTTGCGGCATGGCCTTCATTTCCATCAGAAAACAGGGAAGTGATCTTTGCCGCTCTTCTGAACTTCATATCATTCGAAATCCCTCAAGGAATTCCTGAGCTTGGCGTGAATTTGGTCCAAATCTGGCGCGATTGCTTCATTCAACAGATTTTGCAGCGACCTACAGCAGTTTTCATTACACTGCCCCTTAAGAAGTGAAGTGTCACTACAATAAAAAGTTTCGTGAAACAGAAGTGAAAAGTAATCGAAAAACATGAGGTGGAGTTATAATTTTGGGACGTCGGCTGAGTGGCCTTTTACACAAAAATTATTGGAAAAAATTCCTGTGATCTCAAGTTGGAAGTTGATGTTCATAGGCAATTTCGTATTTATATTTGACACATTGTCACATTGGAGACTTTTTCTGAAACATCTAAATTTGTGAGATTTTGGGAAATTCTTAGGTGGAATTATAATTATGGGACGCAGTGTACATATGTAGTACACGGAGCAGTTTCTTGGAAGCTAAGAAGGCGACGTGTAGTGTTTCACAACGAAAGGTGCGCTGGTTGCAGAGCAGTACATCGAAAGCACTCCATCTCAATTGGAGTGTGACTTGGCAATAATGCCATCAAACGCGTTGCGGTGAACTCGTTCATACCTCCACTTTCTGAGCTGTTACCTGTTGATGAGTGAAAACCAACGGCCAAAAAGGGGGTCCCGTTTTGCGTTTTCTTGACGGATTTTTCCGCTTTTTTCGCCACTGGCGTACCATTGAGCACCACCACGTTCCAGTAAGCCCTTCTTGAAGTTTTGTGATCGCAGACTCTGATTATTTTCATTTTATTAGTTCTGTACTAAGTTATTGTAATCTGTTCATGGGCAAGATAAAAATCGTTACTATCTTCAGGATTGTGAAAGGTATTCCAGTGCGATCTACGATCATTCGCATGAGAGAGAGGCTCCCAGCAAAGAGCGAGAGAACGACAAACGTCTTGTGGTTTTCACTATGGGTATAGGAAGATTATCGGACGACACTAAGAAGTAGTGTTCATGGCTTAAGCCTTAGAGAGAGTGAAGCTGGCCATTCTGTCAATACGGTGACTAGGATTTCGTTCTCAACTTGACCACAATCCACGATACCCCCTGGAAGAGCCCCGAAGGAGCCGGAAAAATGAAAGGGTAAATTGGAGTGGTCAATGGGGAGGATGGCCTGTGAAGAGCTCCATAACCGTTGCGATCATATGCAGGACTGTCAGCTTGTCGGCGATACCACAAGTGGCAGAGGGTAAGAAATGCAGAGTGCTGCAAGAAAATTTTCACAGCTGAGCGGATTCGCAATAGCTAGAGCGGTTGTGTTATGGCCACTAAAGGCGAGAATTCTAACTCACGAGTAAAAATATTTCTAGGTTACCAAACTCGGCACCAGTATTGTTTTTGAAGGGACACCTCGTCCATTATTGAGAGGCCGTTAAATTCCGTCACTTCGGTAGGAACATCGACAAACCCGCACACCTGATATAATAGTGAACGCTTGGCTCGACTCCCACCGCGGGAATGACCGAGATGTTTCTTAGCAGAAAAGTGCTCTAGCCAAGAGACCCAAATTCATCCAAGAGCGGTGCCTTTTTCAACTTCCGACATTGCTAGCTCCGAGGAGTGGCCGTTATTTTGATCAGTTTAGCTCCGCACACTACTGCGTGCCTGACACGGAGCGGTATTTAAATCTGGCCAGGCGGTGGAGCGTTAGGTTTCGCCGCTAAAAATAAGTTGCTTTGAAAAATGCGTAACGACGCTGACCGTTCCATAGCTTGTTCCATTTTAAGGCTCACCCTCTGATACGCACGGTGGAGAGCGGAGCTAATGTCTGTAAAAACCACCATGCATTGGATGTCAAGGATGATTCAGTATCGTATATCTGTGAGCATCCATCATAATTCTTAGGGACGTTGGGGAGACTTGCGGTTCAGAGGCATTTTATGTTGCTGATGACGGACATGACAAATGAGACGATATTGCAAGTGAAACGCGTTATCTAGAATATGGTTCTAAATGGTCTCTATGTTCCTACGATATCGTAATTATCGGCCCTTATCGGCCCTTATCACTTCCTGTACCCCACCGAACATGTTCCCGTCCCACCCTGTACATCACTTCTTGGAACCAACGCCCCACTGCTGCTGGGACGCGCGCTATGAATTTCGTGAAATTTGCGTTTCAGCGCCTTCTAACTTATCAGTCGATATCACTTTTTGAAACCCCACCAAATATGTTCCCGTCCCACCCCCTACACATCATACTCAAAATACAGCGCTTCCATGCCTGCAGCGAAGCACGCTATGAATTTCGTGACAGACAGACGGACGTACACACAGTCATGCTTAGCGAATTGTACATAGTAGGATTAGGTCCGCACCCACCTCACATTTCAGAGTGGTCGGTGAATGTACGATCTGTTAAGTTCGTCCTCATAATTCCCTAAAAACTGAAAGCCCCTGAACCTGAACTGAAAGCAATGAGGGCAGTTTTGGAGGAAGAAGACGAGGAATACCTGCACATAACGTGGACGAAGCCCAAGAAGCAATTACGAGCTTACATTCGCTGCAGTGAAGCTCATTTCGGGATTGGGGTCGTTCCATATTATTGTACACAGTGCAAGTTAAGTTGCATATAGATTCACTCAGGTCAGCATTAGATTCCGTTTGAAAGCTCAAGATATATTGCTGTGTAAAGTCGCTCATAATTTTGGGACATCCTGTATAATATAATATAACAAAATGTTATATAATTGTTGCACCGCTACTTTCTTGCCATTTGGCCCACATCACTCAGGAGTTGGGAATTTGCATGCTTATACGGTCTTGTTTTGTAATACAAACAGAAGATTTTTGAAGCGGAGAGCGACTTATCTCAAATTCCGAACGAGGAAGTTGGTATACTGAACTCCAGCGATTCTTCGCACCTACTTTGATATCGGCTGCTAATAACCTCAGTAGCCTTTATAACACATTCGAGCCGATCGTTCTAGTATCTAGCTTAGCTAGCAGTAAGGGTGGTAGGCTGGAAATAATTGCATACGGCGTACTCCTTGTTACCGTGAATTATGGACTCTAAATACAGGGTGGGCAAAAATTACGGTAACAAGAGCGCTAACAAAACATCTCGATTTCCTTCGAACCTAATAAATGCATCTGGTTGAAGAGACCCCGGAGAGAAATCACTGGACACAACAGCAAGATAGACCGCCTGTACACAAAGCAAATATTGTGCAAGAACTTTCCGAATTCATGACATTAAACGAGTGGCAACCTTATTCTCCCATTTTAAAGCAAGTGGGTTATTTTCCGTGGAGTCTACTGAAGACGATGGGCTGCTACAAGTATCACTAAAGCATCGATGAATTAAAGAAGATCCTAGGGAAAGCTCGATGTCACCTACCTACACAACAGGCCATATGCGTTCCCGAGATGACTTCACTCAGGTATAAACGCAGAACAGCGGCCAGTCCAAGAAGTGATGTTGTATTCTGGTACTTCCTATGAATACATTGTTGGTGTCCACGTGTGTCTTCCGCATTGCTTTTCCATGAACACTTTATCTTGTTACTGTGATTTTTGCCCACCCGTTTTTGCCCGTGTATATATGTAGATCAGAACTCCGGTGTATCGGTTGTCGATGCACGTCCGTCGGTATTTAGGTGAGATTACACCCAAATTGCTTGAACAATTGCGAAACAACTTGTCAAGTAGTGCAGGGAACTACTCGCCGAACGGCGTATCTTTTTCGACCGACCTGTTGTAGTTACGCTTCCAAGATGTATTGAACTCGGCACCCGTTTTCCCATAGCTCCAGAAAGAATGAGACCGAAACCCAAGGGCGCCAAGGTGCTGAAGAATCTTGTAGAGCTGAAGAAAAACAATACGGTGATCAACAGCAGTGATGATAAGTGATTCTGGTATATAAACAACTCAGCAGTGAGGTCACTCATTTTAAAGAATTACTCAACACCACCTGTCAATTGCATTTATAGTATGGTTGATCGACAACTCGCATCAGAGTTGTGGTACCATGGTCTACTGCCTAGAGAAGACATAAAGGTACGTCGTTAGTATATGTCAGATTAAAGCTCAGGACTTAGCCGCCAGTCAAAAGATTAATTTCCACAACCACCACTTTTCAGATGATGTTACGGAATAACGGGGATTTTCTTGTTCGGACTACTGAGCCAGTCGCAGGGCAGCCAAGAGCATTTGTGCTTTCGGTGATGTTCAGGCAGGAACTGGAAGACCAAGGAGTGAGACTAAGGTTTACTTCGGCAATAAGAAAAGACCAAGGATATGATTGTGAATTGAGTTTCACCTGAGCAGGTTATGCCAGCGCAGCTGCATGGCCAGGAAAGGTAGACGTGAAGCATCCAGTCGCCCGCATAAATTTTTCACCTGTTCGGCTGGCGCACTGCCGCGCGCACCTCACTCCAGGGAAACGGAGTGGATAATGAAAAATCAGCTCCCATAGACTCGGCACTCACTGCCTGATTTTTTTTTCCTTGGTAACTTCGGCAGAAACATTCGCGTATTCAATATGAAAAAGGAAGCAATCATCACTTCATTATATAAACCAGGAGTTTGGTGTGTGTGTGTGTGTGTGTGTGTGTGTGTGTGTGTGTGTGTGTGTGTGTGTGTGTGTGTGGTGTGTGTGTGTGTCGTCCTGTGCCGTCGTCGCCGGATTAGCAGCGAAGAGCGGGGGCGGTGAGGGAAGGGGGCAGGCTGGAAGGGGAAGGGAGGGGGAGAGAGAAAGAGGGAGGGAAGGGGAGAGGAGAAAGGGAGGGAGAACATGGCGCTGTCATGCGCCGGAGAGGAGGGTATAAGGAGGGGAGGTGGGGGAGGAGAGACTGAGAGAGAACGACCGTTTTCAAGAGTAAGGTCTATATTCATGTTGACGTATTATTCTAACCTGATGTGGTGATTGTGATAACACCCACAATGGCTACAAAAACACCGAACGAGCACACTCAGCCTCATTCTACATGGTGCTGCCGGGGCAGCCGGAGTCGGCGGGCGGTAGAGGGGAGGGAGGGGGAAAGCAGAAGGGGAGGGGGAGAGGAGAAGAGAACATGGTGCTGCCATGCGCCGGAGAGAAGGGGTATAAGGAGGTATAACACATTCAATAGTGAGGTGGTTAATGGAGTACGTCATGCTGCTATTCCGTGGTTCCTCCCTACCCTGTGATGCGCGCGATAGCGGGCGGAGCAAACCTGGTAAACTATATAACATAGGCATATGGAAGTAAGCTAGGCAAAAGCGGAACCCACATCCTCTACAGCAGAGGGATGCGAGGCAAGAATACCCCTAAAGTCGCCGCGAATGCAAAGGTAGGTTACCCAACGCGGCGGCTACCGTACCGCAGGTCCTTGCATTTTGAAACGTGGCAATTTGCTAGGACTAAGCTCAAACAAATGCAGAAATGGGGACTACACAGACGCAACAAAAAAGCGTTGTATCGATCGTCTAGAGAGGCGGGTCCTGAACTTGGCAAATTGCCATGTTGCAAACATCAAACGCCGTCGACTTCGCGCGGGAGCTGGTTTTGGTGCAGCTATCGCGGGGGACTCTTGATCGTCTCCCACAGCAGAGTGCATCAAATAGCTCCGTTGCAGTTGTTTATGAGGATAGTTGTGATAAGCACATATCATTCCTCTGGTATGGAGAGGTTGAGCAAAAGTTACGGTAACGAGACACAGAGAGTGGAAAACCAATGCAACTAGAAAGACAAAGTAGTTAACGAGAATATTGTGTATATTCATGGAAAGGTACGGAACGGAATACAACAATTACCCAACAGAATGTAGCACCACTTTTCGGAGTGGCCATTGCTGGGGTTGATACTCTGGTGAAGCCCTCTCTTGCATTGTGCATGCTGTGAAGGCAAGGAGGTCGAGCCTGTCCTGGTTTCTCTCCAATTCGCCGGTGTTTCAGTGGCACTTGGAACAGAAATGAAGAGTATCAGAAAAAGACGTCAAACCTTCGGACCCGTTCACATCAAGAGATCGGGAGCAATGCACAAAACTTCAAGACTGATTAAGTGCAGTCAAACTGCTATAAGCACGTCGCGCTGCTACACATTACCCCACTGCGTTTACAAACTCCTTTACATGGGATAGCAGCTCATTCTGTGGCACCGTGCGTGATGACACGGTGCGTAGGTAGCTAAAGAGGTAGGACGCTAGTTTAGAAAAGTCCTTCCTTTAATTGAACACCTATCAAGTCCCCGCTTATTCTGAACTTGAGCACTGCATTGAACTTCAGTTTATTGACACTTGGTAGGGGCTGGATGTTATCGGTTTCATGCCTCTCAAACACTGAAATCGCAAGACCAGCGAGCTCCCAGTTTGGAAGGGAGTTGACATTTACCTGATTCCTTATCACTTCATTTTGTGGAGGGCCGGGAAAGCATATCAGGGCAGACGCAAATACTAACCCACATACAGTCCATATGTCGCTCTTTGAGTTGACGTGTCACGGATATGAGCCGGTCACGCATTTTTTGAAACAGCTAATCCACGCAACTTCCACTTAAGGGCATGCCCCAGGATCACATTGGTGTGGCTCTTGTACACGAATGCGAATGTATTGGTGGGAAGTGGGCCGGCAGTAAAGAAAAAAGGAAAAGAATCCGTTAAGGGCTCACTCACCTTCCTAATCGGCTGTGCTAAGGGAATGAGAGACTAAGCGCGGAGAGGAGAGTATGAGGCGAGAGAGCGCTACAGATGAGAGAGCGCCAGACAACAGCCTGATAAGAGAAAAAATCTGCAGCTTGGGCAGCTTACTTTGCAAGGCCCAAGCGCTCTTGTCGGTTGGTTTCCGTGCACGGAACGCCACATTTGTGATTGTCCTCTAGGGGTCTATACTACAGACCGAAGAGAAGCGTTCACACGACCTCTGCCTGGGTTGTGCCTTTAAAGGAAGCGATTACGATAGATCTCACAGGGGTTTAGAGGGGACGTGAGGGTCTCAATAGTACGCCAATGGCGAAAAAAGCAAAGAAATCCGTCAAAAATAAGCAAAATAGTACCCCTTTGATTGCCCTTTCATTTTCGACCATGGATGAGCGACGGTAAAGAACGACGTTGTTCGGACGTGTTAACCCCGATAGCCGCCATCATGCCAACAAGCATAGTGTTTTGATTGATAAGGCAATACGTGGGCAAGTTGGAAGATACAGCCGCTAGAAGGGAAATGATCATCCAAAATGAAAAGCCAACAGCAAACAGTCCATCCAGATCATCAACAAAACTAGTGGGCGTCACGTCACTGGGGGCGGGGCGTCACGCGGGTCCTGCTCAGCAACCACAGCACCTTTCGCCGTGGGAGGGCCACACATCGCTTCCTTGGCAGCCAAGTAATTGCTCCGTGTGGCGCAGGTTCTCCCCCGATGCGAAAATTCCTTATCGTAATCGCTTCCTTTAAGGCCTAAGTCAGGATCGAGTTAGTGTGTTGTTCCGTTTGAAACCAGGCAAAATGGCAACGAGGATGTGTGGAGAAAAAGTGAAATCCACCATAGAAATCACTGGAATTAAAGAAATCACCCAGCATTCTCGTGGAACATTCACAAGGCTGGCTGCGGCCAAAAAAACAGTTAACAAACAAACAAACATCAACTAGAATTTGCTTTCTGAGGCCGGCTGTGATATGGCGGAGAGATGTAGCGCTGCGAGGAGAGGGGAAACGCGAGAAAGCACGTCGTGCGGGAGAGAGCAGGGACACGTATGCCGCGTTTGATAAGGATGGCAGCACGGCTTCACACAAGGCAAGGCTTTAGCGCGCTTGCCCCGTACTTTTGACTCGTGGCAGTGACGGGCTTATTTCGTTGTAGACCACTTTTTCGCTCTAGATGGGGCTGGCCCTTGGAACCTATTGCAACTTGTAACTAGTTGGGGCTGGCCCTTGAAACCTAATCCGACCTGCAGCTCTGATTGTAAGTTCGGCTGCTGCCACGTCGAATTCGTACTCGGACGGCGAATTATATTCAGATTGTACACATACAGGGGAGGAGAGCGGAAGAAAGAGTCAATCCCCTCACCATTCAGCGCGGAGTATCTACACTTTGCTCAACTCAAAGAGGATACACTCAAGTGCGTACTGAAGAACACGTACCATTCTATCACAAGACTTCATTATAACCTTCTACAGCGACGGCATTAGAAGGTTTTCCCAAACATGATGCACGGATTGGACCCAACATGGTCCCGAATGAATGTGGGCCATTACGAAGTTATCTGAAATGTCAATCAAAGAGGGACTTGCATGGTCAGAGCTAGAAAGTCTACTGTCTCCAGCTCGTGCCAATGCACATGTTCCAATCTGAATCCTTTAGCAAGAACAGGAAATGTTTTTGAATTTACATGTAAATAGATCATTTTGATTGTCGATCAGAAGTTAGTGTTAGGTGTGCGATGAGTAGCGAATTGGATGGTCTTGAGACGCGAATGTCGAAAGCACAAAATAGGAAGCGATGTGTTATGATGTCATGGGAGTCGACGAAGTAAACAGTAGATGGATGT